CCCCGACCGTCGTTTCACAAAAGGGGTCCGGCGTTCAGTAGATGCCCGACACCCGGACCCTCGTTTCTGAAAGGGGGTCCGGCGTTCCCAGAACGCCCGACCCCCGACGTATTCGAAAGGTGGTCCGGCGTTCCAAGAACGCCCGACCCCCGACCCCCCACCCTCCGCGCACCGAGGGGGTCCGACATCTCCAAAACGGCCGATTCCCAGACCCTTGTCTCTTCTAGAAGGAGGTCCGGCGTACCCAGAACGCCCGACCCCCGACGTATCCGAAAGGGGGTCCGGCGTTCCCTAAATGATAGACACCCCACCCCTCGTTTCCGAAAGGGGGTCCGGCGTTCCCAGAACGCTCGACCGCCGACGTATCCGAAAGGGGGTCCGGCGTTCCCTAGATGCTCGACACCCCGACCCTTGTTTCTGAAAGGGGGTCCGCGTTCCCTAGAACGCTCGACCCCTGACGTATCCGAAAGGGGGTCCGGCGTTCCCCCGACCATCGTTTCTCAAAACGGGTCCGGCGTTCCCTAGACGCCCGACCCCCGACCCCCGCGGTGCTAATAGGGCGGGGGTTGGGCATTTTCAGAACGCCCGACCCTCGGATGCTCTGCCATCGATGAGCGGAGGGGGGGGGTCCGGCGTTCCGAGAACGCCCGACCCCCGCCCTCCGCGAGCGGAGGGGGTCCGGCGTTCCCTAGACGCCCGACCCACGACCCCCGCGGTTTTCAGAACGCCCAACCCCCGGATGCTCTGCCATCGATGAGCGGAGGGGGGGGGGCCGGCGTTCAGAGAACGCCCGACCCCCGCCCTCCGCGAGCGGAGGGGGTCCGGCGTTCCCTAGACGCCCGACCCCCGACCCCCGACCCCCGACCCCCGACCCCCGAGGTTTTCAGAACGCCCGACCCCTGGATGCTCTGCCATCGATGAGCGGAGGGGGGGGGAGGGTCCGGCGTTCCGAGAACGCCCGACCCCCGACCCCCGCGGAGGGGGTCCGGCGTTCCCTAGACGCCCGACCCCCGATCCCCGCGGTGCTAAGAGGGCGGGGTTCGGGAGTTTTCAGAACGCCCGACCCCCGGATGCTCTGCCATCGATGAGCGGAGGGGGGGGG